TTTTTTTTTTAACACGGGCCGGCCCGGGCTCGGCTCGGAGCCCCCACACGGGGCTCGGCCCGAGCCTCGGTTCGGTGCGACCGAGCCCGAGTGGGGCCCGGCTATGGCTTTTTCCGAGCCGAGCCCAAGCCGCCGAGCTTTTTTGCCTTCCCTATCAATTAGTGAGAAGAAAATATACCGATCACGATGTCGCTCTTGCTTTGTTCCTCTAAGTACATCCACCACCTGAACATGTCAAATACAGATAATTATTTCAATTAAAACAAGTAGAAAGATAATGTGCAGATAACGTGAAAAAGATTGGATTACCTTTGGAGGCTCTTTACCTCCTTGGAAAAGGTGCTTTACATCAAGAAGTTGCGGATCAATTTTAGCAGGAGCCTTATACTTGAAACACACAATATAAATTTCTGCCAATGCTGAACAACTAGCTTGTGGTTTATCCACTTCAACCTTTTTCAAAAAGCTGTATAGAACATTCATAGGTGAGAAACGCTTTATATTGAACAGAAATTCTCGGTCAAGCTTGATATGAAAGAATAATACCTGTCTAAGACAGAAAAGTACGGCAGTATAATCTTGGAATCTGAAAACCTATAAGACAGCAATAGACATAGCATTATTCATTCATTACATCACTTTTATAAGGTTGACTCGACTAGTGACTAAGGCTAAATGGAGTATAAAACCTATCATGAAAATGCATTATAGTATATCATGACCAATTGTAAAACCCAAAAAAGAATCGAGTCCCCCCCCCCCCCTGGGTGGGGTGGGGATTTCCACACAAGCATCACAGAAGTAATAATAGATTCAAAAATATTTCCTGAATCTCAACCCTAAGAATATATCAATTTCTAAAGATCAATGTAAACATCAGCATTTGCTGTCTTCAAACCATTCAAGGAATAAAATTGGTACTAAATGGATATTAAAAGAAATTCAAATGATTCTTCAATGAGCCAAAAATTTTACTCGTGAAAATGACGCTGAAACCCAAAAAGTTAGCAATTATGTAAATATAATTCACTAGAAGCCACTTGTTCACTGGTGAAAACTGAAAAGGTAATGCCCCTGCTGTTGGTGCCAAAAAAATGGAAGTTTAAAAGGCATTAAAATTTCTCCAACTTCTTTGTCTACAAATTGCATTCATGAATGTATCAACCAATTCCCATGCATCACCTTTCAAGCATAAAATACTTGTGAATGTTTTTGTGTTCATATGTACAATTAACCAGTAATATTAGAATTCTACATTATGATGTAATATCCAAAATTTTATTTCCATATTGCAGTCAATGTTTATTTTGCTTGAAAAACAATGAAATTCAAATATACATAAAGTGCCTTAGTGACAAAATTTCCTTTGGGAGCCAAAAGCTCCATAGCAAGCTTAACCGAGTCAATAACCAGAGCATTCTGACTGGTAGCCTCCTAGCCCACGCACCTCCAACATTAGGCGAGCCATCGTGCAGCACCAAGTCGAAAGCCTTGCATCCATTCTCCACTATAAGTCTCTTCACCACTGCTCTACACTTAGGCTGAGTGATATCCTCCTGCACGGAGATGGCGCCACGGATGGGTCGTATAGGATCGAGGTCGACGCCAATTACGAGGCTTCCGATAGGCATCTGCTCAACGACGGCGTGGCGCAAAGGTCGAGCACGGAGTTAGCCGAGCGGAGAAAACCGAACTTGGAATCGAGCTGAACCAGCTTCCATGCAGTTCGAGATCTATAGCCATGCTCTTTGGCCAAGTGGTAGTACTTATCCAAACGATGCTTCCCCTTTACCTTTCCCATTGATGTTTAGGGTTTTACAATTGGAGGGAAGGGTTTTAGGGATGGCAAGGTCGGTGCCGTTTTACTTGTAAACTATTTATAAATTTAACGAATCGATGCTTGACTTTTTTTTTTTTTGAATCACAAAGCATTCCATAGAAGGCGCAAAAAGCGGATACAAGGAGGAAAACCTCCAACACATGCTCTACAAAGAGAGATTAAGTGCTTCCACAGCCAAAGCGACAGCCACAAAGGCAAACAAACC